AGTGGGGCTGGTTCTTCTGCAGCAGACGCAGCTTCTCCCGGTCCTGCCTCAACACCCGCTGCAGGTCACTGGAGCACCAGCAATGGAACGAACATGACACTCGTTTAAGATGCTGTTCATTTTGTCTTCATTGACTTCATTTAATTGGGTCATAGAAGGACAATTAACCACTGGACGGCTAGGCCATGATATCTCTCAATGTTCATAAAACAAAGTGTTTCTTTATGATCATTTCAGGATTTTTGCCTTCTTGCATGACTTTGGGACATGATATCCAGGTGTGCGATCTAGTGGTAAAAACGAGTCACTGCAAGGCTGGTGCTTTGGACCACACCAGTGGCTGGTGACTAATACAGACCACATCACACCAACAATTTATTCATGTACACATTATCTTCTTGATATCACTGTTGAAATACACACAAATATGGCAAAGTGTAACTCGCAAACAGTTGATTTCACTCCAAACACCGCACATTAGCCATGTGAGGTGTTTAAAGGTGAATAATAGAAATTGGTGTGTAATGAAAGACATCATTTTAACATATAATATTTTAAGCCTCAACAATTGGAAAAGCCATAGAGCCATACAGCCTTGAGTAAAATATTCAGGAATAAATAGATAGCGTGTTTGAGTAATGAATTAAATACTACAGTAGTATCTCTTACTCCATTTTATCCCCAGTGTACCATTACCATTCTCTACCCAGACAGGTGGAGGGCACCAGATAAATGAGGTTAGAGTTAGGGTTAGATTACGTACTTGTTGAACTGCTCACTCTGCACCACCTCCATGGCTCTGGCCTCGCTGTCGTTTGATTGGCCGTTGGCTTTCTGGCTCGTCTGGGACGAGTCTACGCTGCCAAAGTATTGGCTGCTGTCGTTACTTCCTGCAGGACCACAACAGAAAACGTCATCAGTATTACTCATAGATATATATATACAAGAAGCAGATGATGCAGATCACATCGAAAGGATAGAAAGCGTGTTTTTAAAATGAAAATTGTACACAAAAGCGTTTAAATTTAATTGAGAATCAAATCACACACCACAATACATGTTAAACATCCTAACCCAGGCTACTAAATAAATATTATGATGCATTATAAAGAAAGTAATCATGTATATACAGTATATATATTACGATATTAAAGAATCATGTCTACTCTAATCATGAATCATGTCCATCATGACTACACTACAATACTTGCGGCAGTGATTTACAGCGATTTTAGCACACCTAGGAGCGTTGTTAGGTGAAAATGGTTACTAAAACAGTTACTATAGAACAAATCATAATTCTTCCACCAAGCAATATAGTTCCTCAAGACAGCAAAATGGTTGCCAAGCAACACAGGCTAGCATACAGGCTTTAGCATACAGGTGCATTAATACTAAAAATGAAAGGTGTGCGTCTATTGAGTATTTTGCAGTTGATGTTTCTCTACCTCTTCCACTGCCGGAGGTCCCGCTGGCGGACATCTTGGACATGTCGCTGGCCGACGTCCCACAGCCGTTGGAGCCGGAGCCCGTGGACTCCGAGGTGGCCGAGCCGGTGCCCGAGCGGGAGTCCTCCTGGAGGAAAATGTCCATCATGTCGCTGGAGGAGGAGTTGGCATCGCTGTTGTTCCCGTCGCCCGGCGAGCTCGCCTATCGACAAACAATAAAATAACAAAGCTGAAATGGTTTGAACTAGTGTGAAGGTGAAGAAATCGAGCTGTCCGCGACGCCCAGGGTAGTGTCGATGCCACTGGCGTAACAACGTGATGATGGGCCCCGGTGCAAATAATATTTTAGGGCCCCCGCGGTTGTTGACGGGGGGGGGGGGGGGGGGGGGGGGGGGGGGGTGTTGCGCGATTGTCGACGGGGGGGGGGGGTGCTGCGTGATTGTCTGAGGGAAAGTAATTCACCCTGTTTTCAGGTTCCCTTCCAGCCATGAACAGAAATTAGCACTCAGCTATGTATTGAAGACAGCAAATTGCGAAAATTCAAACCGCCACGCCGACACGCCATGGCAACTCACTCTGCTCGGCTAATCTAAAAGGAGTGATGGCATTGTGGAAAAATAGTGCAGGAAAGGAGGCCTAGTTTACCTGTTGAAGCTCCTTCTCCTTGACCGGCACGCCGGTCACTCCTCCTTTCTCCCGCTCGCTGATGTTCCCCCCCTGCCCACACGGGGGCAGCACTGCGCTGTCCTGCCTCTCCTCAAGCTGAAGCAGGTTGAGCTGCAGGGGAGAGCTGCAGCGTGACTGGAAGAGCGGCGCCGGGGAGGTGGCCGGCTCCCGGCCCCCGACGGCAGACTGTGGCGTGGAGGAGCGTGAGGGCCCCTTGGAGGCGTCCGGCATGGTGGCTGGGGGGAAGGAGAAGGCAGTGGGCGGGGACGCCGCAGCGTGGGAGGCGAAGGGGTTGTGACCCTGGGTGAACTGATGCTGCAGGCCGTAGGCAGGCTGGCCGGCGTACGGGCCCTGGGCCTGGAAGGCGCTGGGATCGAAGGCAGGCTGCTGGGGTGGGGGGTAGACGCCGACGGGATCCGCCTGGTAGAAGGTCTGCTGCTGGGGGGGCATCTGAGGGATCATGTAGTTAGGGAGGATCAGCGCCAAAACGGGCGTGACCACGGGGGCCGGGTTGTAGGGGGCGGCGTGGATGGTGGGCACGCAGGACGGGACCCGGGCGCACTGGCTGGCGTCGGCGTAGCCCGCCAGCAAAGTGTCTGCGTGGGGGCCCAGGCCGCTGTTGGCGCCGGGGTAGACTTGCATGGGGTAGCCGGGCATCACGGCCGGGTACGCCATGGAGAAGGCGGACTGGGAGGTCTCGGAGGGCGACCAGGAGGTCTGGTTCAGGCCCTGGTGGAGGAGGGGGGGGCGCCGTGGCTGCTGCCGCCTGTGGTGGGACACGGTGCTGTCCGACGACTCAATCTGCTTCACACGCTTGGACTTGGTCTTCTTGTTGCGTCCGCCCCGACGGGCGGTGGGCTCTTCCCCGGGCTGCTTGTAGGCTCTGCCAGCGGGTACAGCTGAGGGGAGGAAGGGCACAAGGGGGTTAAATAAAAGATTCAGGAATCGAGCACCATTTTTGTTTTCACGGCAGTCTCAGCAGAGGATCTATCAAGGTCAAACTTCTCATATGATATGTGCATGTTTGTGCGTGTGCATTCGTGTGTTTACGTGCATGTGTGTGCGTGGATGTATGTGTGTGCATGTGTGTGTGTGTGTGTGCATGTGTGTGTGTGTGTGTGTATGCATGTGTGTGTGTGTGTGTGTGTGTGTGTATCGCAGTACCATCGCTGATGATCTGCCCCCGCTGGCGCTCCAGGTACTGCGAGCAGTCAGCCTTGAAGGCCGTGACGCCCCTCAGCTCCCGGAAGCGGTAGAGGAAGGCCTGCTCCTCCTTCTGGGTGTGGGCTGCCAGCACCTGCTTGGTCAGACCCAGTTTCTTGTACGACTCCCTCTCCTGGTTGGGAGGGGACACGGCACTTGGGGGAGGGCCGGGGGTCTGGTTCCCATCGGTCATCTCCTCTATGATCTCTGCACAGACGATAGGTAGATATGTAGACTTAACAATCGGGTAATACGTAACATAACAATAACATTGTTGTGTACGTCACACCAGAGTCCTGCAACAGGTGACCCACAGAAAAAGGGATTTGCGGGTGGTATTTTGCCTTTATTTTATTTCCGGGTTTGTTTCTGGGTAAAACAAAGAACATGCGGGTCGGATCGCGAGTGTCGGATAAACGGCCTCTCTTTTACTGCATTTTATGACTCTGTCGGCGAGCTATATGCAAGCTATATGAGGGCCGCTCCAATCAGATGTGTTATTAACAGGCGCGTTAACTGTGGAGATGTGCTGCTAAATATTACGAGAATAAGCAAAAAATATTAATTTGAAAATATATTATCTTAATTTTACCATTTCATTTATCTATGGCCCCAAATTCTCACTTTAAATGTACTTGATTCAGCCTAACCAAATTATTTAAACAGCGCTTGAAATGATTTCATCCCACGCTTTTTACGGTAATGCACGACACCGGGGCGGGGGCGGGTCTTGAAAATCAGACCCGTGCAGGACTCTTGTGACACCACACACACACACACACAGTAAGACACACAGTAAGGCACACACACACATTTTGCATCACACAAAAGCAAAGTTAATGCATATTGATAATATCATAACAATGACATTTGCATGATTGCACATCGAGTCATAAGACAAGACATAAAAGCACTTAGCAAACACTGCAGTAACAGTAAGCTGAACTGGAACTTTTCGGCAAACTTTTAACGTATGCCGATAAACAGTTTGGATATGATATGTGTCATAACCAAGATTAAGCATTTGCCTTCAGCCTAAACCTAAACATTCCCTATGATTATGATAATGGGTATGATTATGAAATTGGTGATGCCCTAGGAAGAATGACGATACAGTCCGCACGTGCCACATGTGTAATGCCAGATGTGTAATGGGGCTGGTATGGGACGTAAATGAAGAATCAAAGATGGCAGCGCCTCCAGTGCTACTGAGGAGGAAACAACATTACATCGTTTCTGTCAACGCCTGTCAACCACCGTTTAGCTCATGGGCCCAGGAAACATCAACAGCACTAGCTTAAGACAGACACATCCGGCTGATTTAATGAGCCGATAAAGCGTCTCTTGCCCTACACAAATGGCAAGTGTCCAGGGTGCTTCATGTCCGTGGCACGTACTGAGTGCGCGGTACAATTAAGCACAATTAGAAGGAGGATTTTCTCTGTATCCGACTTCTGTTGTCGTGGAGATGGTAAAACAAATAAGGACTAGCAGGATACTGTTAATAGGCGGGCATAACTCTTATATTGTGTGTAATGCTGTGAGTTTGACATTATGTTTCGTCTGCAACATGCGTAAGGGCCAATAGGGCCGATGTCCTCCTGTTATTGCAAATACATTATGGACCACATGGTCGTGTACATGTAACACATTCTTTTGCAGAAGAGGGTAGTGGGCAAATGTGGGCCTGACTAGCTCAACTGGTGGAGCATGGCATGAATGTTGCCAGGGTTAGGGGTTCGATTCCCACTAGGACCGCCCATGCTAAAAATGTATGCACTCATGGTATAGTAACACGCTTTGAATAAAAGCGTCCACCAAATGGCATGCATGTATGTGTATATATTAGTGGTGGGCCGTTATCGGCGTTAACGCGCTGCGATAACGCGAGACTCTTATCGCGCGATAAAAACATTATCGCCGTTAATCTATTCTCAAAGTTGGGCTGGGAGCTGGGTCTATACCGGATTTCCACCAAGGAAGGTAAGCGCCGCGGAACGGCTGCGCTGCGGAACGGCTGCGTCCTCTGCCCGGCGACCCCCCCCCCCCCCATCGGTCGTAGGTCTGGGCAGTGGCGCCTTAATGCACGGGCTTACCTGGGCTTCAGCCCGGGGCCTCGGCCAATCAGGGGCCTCTTAAAAAATATATATTTAAAAAAAAGATGATAAACGTCCGTATTCGCGGTGTCATTACTGCCCCCCCCCCCCCCCCCCCCTCCCCGTCAACAATTGCGCACCTCTCCCCCTCCGGTCAACAATAGCAGACACATATTATGAATGCCTTCGACAGAATTCAAATGACCCATTTTAATCTAGATTAATCTAGATTAATTCCAAGATTACAGTTAGATTAATCTAGATTAAACAAATGAATCTATGCCCACCACTAGTATATATATATATATATATATATAAAAAAAAGAGAGCATGCTTTACTTCAACAGCTCTCTCTTCATGGGAGTAATTTGCACCTAACTGTTTTAGACTCATTTTAAAAGCTCTACACGGCATTTATCAAGGATATGAATATATATTCCTGCCACCATTGTCATGTACAACTAACGCAAACCTTCAACAACACATGAACACAAGAACACAAAATCCACAAGCACACAAAAGACAAACACATAACTACTGTACTCACAGCGGTGCATGAACACAAAAACATAGTAAAGCATAATAAAACATATACACACAGAGACACACAGACACACACACAGGAAGTTAAAGGATCCCGTTTCATGTGTGCTTACCCGACTCTGGCTGGGGTTTCTTGTCCCCTACATGTACAATGGTGCTACTGTAGCTACACTGGCTGGTGATGGACACCACACTCTCTGGTTTATCAGGCACAGGTAAAGGGAGGGAGGTGCCCACTACTGCAGTGGCCGTTTCACTGGGTTTTTTGTCTGCATCGCCCAAAGGACGATGAACAGGCTGATCCTTTAACAGGGCTGGTTCTGGCAAAGAGAACAGACAACCAGAGACATTGACTTTTTACAGAGTCTGAGAGCAAAATAAAAAAAGAGAGAAACCCCTGACATGTTTGTTTAATTGTAGAAGAAGAGATAAGAGAAGAAGCAGAAAATAACAAAATCGATCCAGAACATTGATGTTTTTTCTAATATAGAGAACCATTTCAGAGAGACAGCATGGCGAGTGCTGTGACTCGTGACTGGTAGCGTGTTACCAACAGACGAGAAGAAACATACCTGCAGACACCCGGATGGAGCTTGGGTCCTTCTGCTTGTCATCATCTGAGTTGGAGGACATGGTGAGGGAGGAGGACTGACACTTCCTCTTCATGGTTATGGGGATGTTACAGCTCTCCAAGTATCTGAACAACAACAACACGTTGATGTCCACTGGTACCGGAAAAATGACCGCATCAGCGTGTCTTTAAAAAGTCATCATACACTGATTGACAATGGTGGTGTGTTGTCATTATATTATCGGCAAAGCTGTGCGTTGAGTTAGCGTGGGAACCAGACGAGGTTGGCGATGGCAAGTTGCAGCCTGCAAGATGATTTTAACCACTAGGTGGCAGCAAATAAAAATACAAACTACCGCTCTAGTGACCAGCAAAATACACAAATTGTGTCAGCATGATGTCAGCAGGTCTTCACCCCAACAGATCCAAAGTGAATGCCCCGGCAAAACACACACACATACCTGATAACACTGTCCAGGCAGTTTATCTGCTGGTAGGAGTACACCGTCTGGTCGTTAAAGGCCAGCTCCTCCTGGAAGGAAGCCCTGCTCTCCTCCATGACGGCCCCCGCGTCCCTCCAACTGAGGGGGGCCGCGGATTCCTTGGGCCGCACCACAGCCACGGTCCTCTGGAGCCCATCTACTGGAGAAGAGACACATGTCAAGAGAGAAAGGGGGCGAGGCTAAGGAGCAGCTCGTGACTGTATGCCAACACAGCGGTGATTCTAATGACAGAGTTTCGGGTCACATAGACCAGTGGTTCCATGTTTATTGGGAACCACACTAGTTAAAAGCAGGAGTTCGCTCAAGGCTTCGAATCTGTTCATGTATAAAGGAACATTTAGATATTTTACCAGAAATGTATCATCAAATATCTGTAGCTTATAAATTATCTCCCGCAACCCCAAATGCATATCAGGTGACCCCAAGTGGGGTCCCAACCCCAAAGTTGGGAACCACTGACGGAGACGCAACGTCCGTCTCTCTCTCTCTCTGTGTTTCTCAAGCAGAGATTTAGGGTCGACTTACTGCTGCTGCTGATGGTGGTGGTGGGTTTCTTGGCATCTGGCTTGGTGGAGGAAGCCAGGTAGAGCTGCTGCTCCTGGCTCTTCTGGAGGTGAATCCCCTTGCAGATTTCCTGGAAAGTACGCTGTAAAGAGGCAACGCCCATTCGGCAAATTGTCAGAGTGAGCTAGGCTCTAAACGGCAAGCCTTGAATGAAGCTGAGGACAGATACAGGTGGATAGGGGAACTATTTCCACACCGAGGCGACACTGTCCATGGACCACTCACCGGTTTTGCCTTGCTGCCCTCCCCCTCTGCCTCAGGGTGGACCTTGCTACCGTGGCCCACACTCTCTCCGGAAGAGTTCATGCTGATGTGGAGGTCGTTGCTGGTCATGCTGCTGTAGCCCGTGGAGCTCGTGTTGTGAACCGGCTGGGGGCAGATGTGCATAAAAAAAAGCAGGAATAAAATAACATCCCCCCCAAAAAAAGAAACTGATCGAACAATTCATATTTTCAGACTTTCCCGCCAGAGTATCTGGACTGGGGTTCTTCTCTCACCTGCAAGAGGAGCTTATGGATTTGCTCCGTGATTTCCTGGACGTCGGGGTCTATGGTCTTGGTCTCTCCCGGGGTGGGGGTGGGAGCCACGAACACATCCTCATTTACTGGGCCCCTGAGAATTCACACAGAGACACACGCACATAATCACATATTCATAATACAAGGCATAAAGTTGATGTATGAATTTATTATTTATGATTTTACTGAAAGCAATTTAAGATGAAGATTAAGATTAAAGATTAAACTGAGCCTGCAGAACTCTAAATCAACATTGATAAATAACCTCCTCAATAACTCACTTCATGATTAACCTGTTTTTGGAGTTCAGACACTAGGGGGCAGGATCTTCTCGTGGCTCGGGCGTTTGACTTCCGGTCTGAAAGGTACCGGGTCCGAGCCTCCAAAAAGTCTACAGTCTACCTGCAGCCATCTCATAAATTCCCTGCGAGTCACTTTGGATAATAGCTACGCTAGCTAAAAATGACTTAAAGAGCGAATAGACACTCACATGCGGACTTTGTGCCTCCCGATGACGAAGGAGACTTTGCGGCTCCAGGGGTTGACGAAGCTGGACCAGCTGGTGTCCAGGATGATGTACTCCCCGTTCCGCGCTCGGAACCGGATGGACGAGTGGTCGAAGGGCTGGCCGGCGAACTGCAGGACTACGAGAGGACACGGAGATCGGGGGACGAACATCATCAGAACACGGCGGGTCAAATAAACACACCTTTTCCCATTCAGACTTTCAATCTCATCCAGAGACACACAGGACTTGGGACTCACTTTTCCTGTGGATCCCCAGCATGACTTGGCGGTCGTTGGGGTGGAGGTGGAGCAGGACCGGGGTGCCGATCAGGTCCTGGGGGAGGTACCCGAGGAGAGGGACTGCCCTGAAAACACACAAGCGCAAACCATAAGCCACCAGGTACCACCGTACACACGTCCTTAGTCCTGAGCAATGTTTAGAATTAAATACATGAATAGATGTTTCTGGAGGACGTCTGACCTCTCGTCCACATCCTGGAACACGCAGGTTGGCGTGTGTGTGGTGGTGAAAACACGCTTGTCTGTCGGGATTCTGGGAGCTGCGAAGAGACAGAAAGCGGTGAAGTTGTTGTTCATTTTACAGTCTTATCTGCAGTAGAACTAGACCTTAAAGCACGGTGCAACATTTACTTTTAGAAATGTGTCTTTTTAGTGGCAAAATCTACCGGCCAAGACATTTTTAATATGTACCCCTGCATTTTTTTACTTGCCAAATAGTCAAATTCATTAAATTAATAGTCACACTATTGTCCCTCTTTAGCCGTTGTCCCTTGTCCAGCGTCCCTCGTAAGAAATGGACAGAGACACACACAAGCAATGCGTGGGGGGGGGGGGGGGGGGGGGGGCGTACCGTCGTAGCCGGAGTGAACACGCTCGGCCAGCAGGAGGCAGCAGAACTGGTCCTCCGTGTGTTCGCTGTCCTGAACCTTCATCAGGTAGGGCGTCATGCGGAAGGGCAAATACTGTAGGTCGCCCGCACACTCCTTACCACCGCTGCAGAGAGGGAGACATGATACGGTCACACCCCTTACCCTACTCCGCGAAACACCCCCGCCCAGTAACATTAGATATGCAAGCTCTCTGTTGACGTCATGGAGTTCATTCACTAATATAATTCAGTCTACCCAAAGGAAAAAGAAGCATCCGATGCCTGATGCGTTTGAGCAGGGCGTGGATAGGGGAAAGCAGGCATGAATAAAGCAATGCAGCAAGGAAGCAGGTGGCCACCCACCTGATACGGCAGAAGAAGGACTTCTCCTGCATGCAGTCAGGGGGCGATGACTCTGAAATGGCAGAGAGCTGTGGTTTAATTCACAAGTCACTTGGAAACATGACCTCACCCCCCCCCTCATTTCATCAGAGTTCAGAGTTTTTCATCAGGCCCTATGCACAAACAAATCTGGGGCACAGCGTTGCCCTTGAATACCATACATGTAAAC